TCAGTTATTGCCATGGTGTTAAAACTTGAGTTGAGTTTGCCGGTCAAACTATTGAATTGGCAAACCAATCTCTTGGTTGGTTTGATCAAGAGTTTTGAAAGGGTCAACTATGTTGGATTATTTTTATATGTTTTTCTCCACTTGCAAAACCTAAAATGACATCATTTTAAGTTAAAAAATAAATAATTTTTTTTTTTTGCTTTAGTAATGTATTTTGTTGGACCATATGTGGTTTGTACTAGAATGTTCTATTTACTTGTGAATTAATGTCTTTTTTATTGAAATAGTACTCTTTTCAATGTCATATATGTGAATATTTTTGTATATTTTAATAAAATTATATTATTTTAATCATGACTGGATTAATATTGATTCAACCATAATTGAATCATTGACCTTTGAACCATTTTCTCAATTGGTTCAATAACATTTTGGTTCCAATATCTTGGTTTGTTAGTGTAACTTCCTAATTTTTAAGTTAGGAATTAATTGTGGCAAATGGTGGATTAATCAAGGATCTAAATTAGAATTTTTATTATTTTGAGGTTTAATTGAGTAATTTATTCATGATTGAAGTTATTTGAGGTTAATCAAATATTTAGATACTTAATATGGATTAATTTAAGCTTAGGATTATATATGAGGATTAATTGGTGTCTAAAATATGTATTGGGCTGGATAGGGAGCCCAAATTGTTGGGCTTAAATTCATGAGCCTAGAACTAGGCCAATTGTTACCGCTTGCATCCACTGCGATGCAAGACATGAAATTTAAATCCAAACTTTGCATTCAAAATAGAAGACAAAAGAAAAAGGGGTTAGAGTTTGGTGCAACATTTATGATGCTCTGTTAGGGCATTGATTGTTCCATGGTTTTGGCTTGATTTTGAGGCATTAAAGACTCAAGGTAACCTTAAACTTCCTCCTACCTTCTAATATTTTCTTTAAGCTAATTTATGGTTGGTTTTGTTAAAGTTGGAACTTCATTTTTAAGGATACCCAATCATTAGATTCAAACTATAAAGGTGTTTTGAGGTTAGATATGTCTCATTTAAGGAGTTTTGATGATAATCCAAAACCCTAATGTTTGTTGGATGATTATTGATAGTGTTTTGATGTTGTAGATGTTAAATTTGTGTGTAAGAGCTATGTTAAGGTTGAGGAGGACTAAATGTGTTGGTCTAAGTGCATGGAAGTATTTAGGTTAATGAAATTAATTAACGTAACCCTATGATTAGGGTGTGATCAGTGTTTAAACACTTGTATTAGTGGGGATTAGAATTGTATTAATGATAATTAGTATTGTACTATGTATAAATTGTGGTGTTAACATAGTTGGAGGTGGAAAAATGCTTGTCTAGGAAAACATTGTTACTAAAGGCAAAGGTAATAATTACTTTTACATTGTGATGTGTGCTGTGTGATTAATTGTGTGTAGTTTTTTGCATAAAGATAATTATTGTTGGAAGTATATGTTTCAAAAGGTGTTTAATAGTTGTTTTAAAATTGTATTGCTGATGGGATGGAAAACTTTATGTATGATTATTCTTGGCATGAAATCAATTTTTTGGAAGCATGAAAATGGTTTTGATTTATACTTGTTTGAAAATATTATTATATGCATCACTTGTTGGTTTGGATGTTTGTTTGAAAATTTTATTGTTTGTAAACCTTTTATACCATGTGGTACGCTTTCGTTGGATCCAATGAGTGACTTGTCAAAACTTGGATCACACTATAAAAAATTTGTTGATTAGTGACAGAAAATTTTATCACTAACCATTGAAAATTCTGTCACTAAACTGGTTAGCGACGGAAACATTCTATTGGTAAAAACACTATCACTAATTAGTTAGCGATGGAAAAAATCTATCACTAATCCATCACTCCGTCATTAATTTTTGGGATAGTATATTCCAACTTAGTGACAGATTAGCAACAAAAATTCTATAGTAAATTAGTGACAAATTAGCGATAAAAATTCTATAGCAAATTAGCGACGAATTAGTGATAGAAATTCTATGGCAAATTAGAGATGAAATGTCCATCACATATGTTTGTCAATTAGCAATGGAAGTTCCATCACAATTCCGTCATTAATTTCTATATAATTTTTGAATTTTTTATTATATTTATAGGTAGCATTTTTTATATACCTAAATATTTGTTGATTCTATTAAAATTATTGTAAAACAAGCAATTCAAATTTACTAAATAATTATACCATAGATCAAACATTTCAAATTTACAAAAAAATAACATAACTCAGTAGCAAATTAAAATAATAATGTCACAAAGTCTAAAGAAAATTAGAACAAAGTAGTTTTAATAAACAAGTCATAACAGGAGGTAACTAATAAGAATCCTTTTTACTCAAGATCCCTCATCATTTCCAGAATTTGAATTTTTAAAATTCTTTGATATTTTTTGCTCCAATGCTTCTAACGTAGACAAGATACTCATATTTAATTCTCTAAAATCTTTGTTCTCTTGTCTAAGCTCAGTGACTAGCTCTTGTTGCTCTTGTCTAATGTTTATGACTATTCTCCTATGCAATTTCTCTTCAAAATCAGGATGAAGCCCTGAGTTGTTGATGGATAAAGAGAACTTATATGAATGAGAGGTAGAATCAATATCTAAAGCCTTAGATCCTAACCCATATATGCAACCCTTGTTCTTACCATCTATGGCCTCTAACCATAAGTTAATTTCTTCTTCATCATCTAAATCATTTGATGGTACATTTGGAGAATCTATGCTAGAACTTTTGGATGCCTTAAGCCTCATGTAATAATCCTATTAAATAAAGTAATGAGTATATAAATTCCTTCACAAAACTCAAGTAATAAAAGAAAGGGACATGCAAGTACTAGATACAATGAGAAAACAAAACCACTAAACAAATAAGTCAATTTGATTAGTGAAGCTTTGACCATTTTTTTGGCTTTCTTTTTTGTTAAACACCTACACACCCCCAATAACAACACCTAACAAGCACCTAGATACTTAAACAAATGTTCCACATATTGATTTGATTGACAACAAAGATAAGGCAAATAGTAGATTTTATATAATAAAGAAAGAAGATTTTCTAAGGACTATCAGAAAACAAAAAAGATTTTCAAGCCACACATTCATCTCAAATTAGTCTCAAGGGAAATCCCCAACTTATATGCAGATAGCAATAGCTACTTTATCAATCTCTAAAAGCATAAAATAAATAAAGATATATAGAAAGTTCAAATAATTGATTTACACATAATTGATTATTGTAATCTACCAATTTTTCAAATATACAAGGCTAAAAATAAAAGAATACAGACCAACATGAGAAGAGAACATAAATTTTTCATGCAAAAGAGCAAAACAATAAATATAGGTATACTTTAATGGAAGAAAACTAGAAAATGATAGCAAGACAAAAATCAAGATATAAAACACAGCCCAATTTCTTGCTCAGGTGATTTGAACTTTTATTATACAACTAGTCAGGCCTCTAGCCTTCAGCACAATTCCAATAATAATGATAAACATATATTTATATAAACTTCAGCTGACCTATGATCCACAAATCGGCCAGTTTTCTCATTAAAATGTGTCTTCTTAAAAAATTCAAACACTGTAGGTTTTCTCCCTATTTTTAAAGCCTGCAATTATTTAGAAAGATGAATTATGTCATGCATTAAATAAAAATGATTGTATTTGAAGATAAACTCTTACCAATCTCCTCTGATGCTCACTATTAGGGATACTACCCTTTTTGTGTTGAGTGCCTCCAGTGGAAGATGCTCAATTGGTTTTAGCTATGTCATACTTGGCCTTATAGTCTTGTGATGTCCATAGTTTCTTTAAATCATCCATTGCATCATCTGGAATCTAATTAGGCTTAACATTTTTTTAAACAAGTCCTACATCATGTTATGCATTATGTTTCTCAAGATGTCTGCATACTTTGAATTCCAATTTTTCTTAATAGTAGCTTCAATTTGTGGCAGCCATTTGTATGTTTTCTTCATAAATGTAAGAAAAAATCAAAAGTATATTAAAATGAGAGAAAAACTCAACAACAACAACAAGCCTTTATCCCACTAGGTGGGGTCGGTTACATGGATTGCAAGACGCCATTGTGCTCTATCATTTATTAAGCTTTTAGAAATATTATTAATTAAGAGATCACGTTCAACAACTTCCAAGAGAATAGTCTATACAGCACCAAATATATAACAGAGATAACAGAGATAAAATATACCGCCCATTCATCAAACCACATTTGCTTAATCTGAGAGGGTGTTGCTTTCTAGCTAGAACATGGATGCTCAAATTTTGCTTGAATTATAGGGAAAATAGTCTATACAGCACCAATAGCAAGGTTAAACCTCTAAAAAAATTGAAATAAATAATTATAAATGTAAGAATGGCTTTAAGCTACTAAATGGATATATCAAATAAAATAATGCAAACCACATTAACTAACATTTTCTTCTTAGGGTATATCCATGTTTTACCATCTGTTGGATGATAGCCCCCTTAGTGCAGAACTAGCTGAAGGACCCTATGGAGTGGGGGGCTGTGAGTTCTCCTATATGCAGGTGATAATAAGGGTCTCCTAATTAATTCCTGCATAATTGGAGATGATATAGGTCTAGATGGTTTAGGAATGATTGGGGATGGTATATGTCTAGATGGTTCAGGCATGGTCAGAGGTCTAATTGATGTGTTTACCACAGTAGGAGAGGATGTAGCTGCTACATGAGGAAGAGAAGATTGTTTGAGTTTCTGGGATGATAACATAGGTGTTGGAGTACTTAACTAGTCTCTAGAACATTTCTGGCAATGAATTGACATCTACATATTAAAATTTCAACTTTGAGTTACTAATAAATAATAAATAAATCATCACCAAATTAAAAAAAATTAAATTTAAACTAAAATTAAATTAAAACTCAATGCAATCAAAATCAAAGTCAAAATTAAATAGCAAATCAAAATCAAAACCATAATTTATGTATCTTCATCATTGTCATCATCATTTTCACTACCATCACCACCACTACCACCATTATCATCTTCCATGTAAAAATCTTCTTCATCATCTTTACCATCTTTTGTATGTTCAGCTTCATCATCATCTTCTTCAACTTCTTCGTCATCTTCTTCAACTTCTTCATAAGCCATGTTATCAATTGGCATATCTACTTCTTCATAATAAATCTCAAGGTCTTTTAGATTATTCAATTCATCATCATCATGAACAATTGTTAGTAGTATGACTTCCAATCCATCTATTTGAAAAGCTCTTATGTTTGTTTCTGACAGAGGAATGTCAATTATACTACAAACCTTGACCTTAATAATAGTTAACTAATTAGCTTTTTGATGGCAACAAGAATAAGGAGCATTGTACACTTGCACTGCTTATTGGGTGAAAATAAATGGGTCATATTTGTCGTACCTTCATAGTTCATGAACTTCAACAATCCCATATTTTTCATGAACCCTTATGCCATGATTTGGTGTTGGATCAAACCATTCACAATTGAACAACACTAACCTCTTCATAGGAAGCCCATGTATTTAATATCCAATATCTCTTGTAAAATGTTATGAAAGTCATGCTCTGATTATGTATAGTCAGCCACCTTAATGCATACACCACTCATGAATGTGTATGAAATTTATACCCATTAATAAAGTACATAGGCCATGTTCTAACTCTTCTGTTTAGGCCCCAAGCAATGTCATGCAAAAATGGATCAACAATATTATTGTTTGGGTTTTAAACTCGCATGATGTTTTTTATGAATATTGTGTTAGTTAGAGTTTATTTTAAAATTCAAAATTTAAACCAATTTCTACTTACATGATCTTTAAACCATATGAGAAATTGTTCATTGATTTGAGATTCTATTTCATTGTGCATAATTTGAGGGTTCTCTTCCTTTAATTTTTTGACAAATAATATGCATGAATGTTAACTAAGCATATAAGGTTTAAACTGCATGACAATTTAAGGGTTCTCTTATTTTATATGAGGTTTCACCTCATCACAATTCATTAGAATATATCTTGTTGCAACTTTTACTTCTTTATCATCTAAGAAACATTCCTTACATTCCCTAGAAGGTCTTCTTAGATAATTAAATATAGAAATTGTTGGCAGCTCTAATACACTACCATAATCATTTCTTGGAGGTCTTGTTATTCTTAGTGGAATACCTAGCTCAAAGTAGTGCGAGTCAAATAGTGTATTCTCCTCAATTATATAAGCTTCACATATAAATGCTTCAACCCAAGCTTTGTTCTTGACCTTTTGTTTCAAGGTATAAAGAAACCTACATAAAGAGCAATGAAAATTGAGATTGATTATTATACTTATCATATATTCATCCTCAACTCACATAAATAGATTTCATTACCTTTCAAATGGATATATCCATCGATATTGAACAGGTCCCCTAACCTTAGCTTTATAGGGAAGATGAATAGGCAAATGTTATATTGAGTTAAAAAACTTTGGGAGAAAAACATTCTCAAACTTGCACAATGTCATAACAATATTTTTCTCTAATAACTTTAGTTGATCTTTCATTAAGGTAGTGGAATAAATTTGCTTAAAGAATTGACTAAGCTCGACTATAGGATTCCATACAACTTCAAGCAAAGCAGTCAAGGCAATAGGAGGCAAGTATTCCATGAATATGTGACAATTATGACTCTTCATTCAATACAACTTTGCTTCTTTCATGTCAACATATCAAGCTAGATTAGATGCATATCCATCAGGGGGCTTTAATGCCTTTACCTATTGACAAATTTCTCATTTTTGTTCCAAATTCAACGTATACTTTGCTTTGGGTTTCATCATTTTTCCTCTTCTTTCAACAAGTTCTTCTTCCTTTTGTCGACAATATTCTTTCAAGTCTATTTGAGCTTGTGTATTGTCTTTTACTTTTCCTTTTGTGTCCATTATTGTGTGAAACAAATTGTCAAATTTTTTTTATGAAACAAATTATCAAATTTTTTTAATGTGCATAACATCAAGATTATGTTGAATGAGATTACTTTTCAAATATGATAATTTCCAAAATATGCTTTGTTTTGTCCAATGATGAGTAAACTTATAGCCTTCAATTGGTATTGTTTTTCCATACTCAGTGACCTTTGGAAAATTTTGTGCATTATACCAAACTTCCTCACTACTTCATTAAGGTGGAGACTTTGATTTCTCAACTCTATTCTTGTAAAATGTGCTTTTATTTCTCCTAAATTGGTGATCATGAGGAAGAAATTGATGATGACAGTCAAAGAAAGATGTTTTTCTCCTATGCTTCAATTGAAAGGCCTTTGAATTCTCCATACATATAGGACATGATAATCTCCCATTGTTGTCCAACCAGACAACATGCCATATGCAGGAAAGTCATTGATTGTCCATAATAATGCAACATGCATATAGAAATTTTTTCTCATTGATGCATCATATGTTAACACCCCCGCTTCCCACAATAATTTTAATTAATCTATCAGTGGTTGTAAATACACATCTATGTTTCCTTTAGGATTGTCTGGACCAGGGATGATCAATGTTAAGAACATGTATTCTCGTGTCATGCAAAAGTTGAACCTGTTCCTTAAAGAGAAGCTAATAGTAACACAGAAGTAGACAACAACAAAGACAATGCTGAGAAATGGACACACTGTGCTCTGCTATTAGATTCAATGCAAACTTGTGAAGACAACGTTAGGGCAAAGGTGGAAGAAGGAGGAGGAAGGAGCATGTGAACTAATTCATTAGGTTAAGGTAGGGAATATTTGTGTGTGCGTTTTAGGAATCGGAGGGAGATAAAAATTTTTTGGAGGGATTAAAAATATAATCTAAAAAAAGTGGAGGAAATGTAAATTCAAAAATATAAAATTTTATATAAATTTTAAAAATTTAATGTGAATATAAATTCAATCCAAATTAATAGAATTGTAAATTTCTTTTATGAATATTTTATCAGAATTATTTTAATATTTTGATGTGTTTAAAATTTAAAAATAATTTTTATATAATTTATAGATTTTATAACCCTAGATTTATTTTACAATGGTTTTATAAATGACATCATTTTATGTTTAATTACAATAATAAAAAGTAACAATTAATTTGTTATTTTTAAATTAAAGGGCCCATTTGTTTCAGCTTATTTCATTGAAAAAATTACTTATTTTTTAAAAAATTTATTTTGTGATTTTTTACTATGTTTGTTTAAACTATGTAAAATTTTAAAATAATATAATAATAAATTATTGTTATAAAAAAATAAAAACTATGTTAGTGACAAAACTAGCCATAGATTAGCGATAGAATAACTTTCCAATAAAATTACCGATAGAATCTTCCATGGAAAATAAATTAGTGATGGAATTTAGTGATGAATTACCCACAGAATTAATGACAAAAAATTTTCATCGCTAATTCCATGGGAAATAAATTAGTGATAGAATTTAGTGAGGGAATTACGACAACTTGTTTGCGACAGAATAATTCCATCGCTAACTCCATTGCTAATATTAGCGACAAAACAATTCCATCAGAAAGCCTGTTGCAAAATAGGAATGGGTTATCCTAGAAGTTCGTGACAAAATTTTTGTCACTAAATATTTTGTGACGTCTTAGGGACGGATTAGCGACAGAATGTTTATGATAGAAAAATTTTGTGGCTAATATTAGTGACAGAATTAGCCATGAATTTGTAACAGATTAGCGATGAAATTTAATTTTGTCACTAATTTACTATTTTTTTGTAGTGCCATTGAACCTTTAGTTGAGTGAATCATATTAAGTGTGGACTTCAATTTGGAGAAAGGAGGGTATAAGGTTGGTACCATGCATTCTTGTTTAGTTTTGTCTAGATTGTTTGAAATATTTATTTGGAACTTGTTTTAGTTGCCCTACTTAGCAATCACATGATTAGTTACATAGCATGGATCATGGCATATTAGTATTGGTTATTGGAAAATTTATGTCTAATTCCCTATGGTTAATATCGCACCCGAAAATGTGACACGGACGGCGCACGAATGGAGGTTTCGACCTTTGAGATGGGAACCGGCTGAATGGGAGTCGCCACTAAAATTTTGAGGTAAATCTTGAAAAACCGTTTAAAGGAAAATAAGGATGGTCTGTGAAATCAAATAATAGGTTCGAGAGTCAATTAAATATGAGGAAGATATTAGGCATCCTATAACACCTATTCATAAGAATGGTTACCAGAAATTTATTGTGCTATATTAATTTAATTTTAAAGTTATTTTAATTATCCCCTTTTTTTATTCATGTGTTTGATATAAAAATAATAAGAATTAAGTAAGAAATACTTATTTATCTACAAGGGAGAACTTGACTTAGAATTCGACTCTGAGGCCTACGTATCCTGTGATGGGAATCAAAGTTCACATAGTTTGAGTTTCAAAGTTGCTAGTAAAAAAATATTTTTTTGGAGAGAAATTAATTAGAAATAATTCACCATTTTACAAATAATTTTTTTTTTAAAATTTTGATATGTGTGTTTTAAGTTATAAAAAGTAATTTAATTTTAATTATTTTCTTTTAATTTTTGAATTTTGGAATAAAGAAAAGAAAAGAAGAGGGTTTAATTTTTTTATATTTTATGATTGAAAATTTAATTACTATATCTGTAAAGTCTTATTGGCTTATACGATAATATAATTACCCTAAATATCTATGAAGATTTTGAAATCTCACATAATAAAAGAATTTAGCAACTTAATTTATTTATTTATTTATATTCTTATGTATATAATAAATTTTTAAGCATGGATGTACATATACACTTTTTCAAAAATATTAATTATTATACCTGGAAATCTTTATTGACTTATACAATAATATAATTATCCTAAATATCTACGGAGATTTCAAAATCTCACGTGATAAAATAATTATATTTATTTAAATATATTTATATTAATTTACTGGATTTTTATGTATGTATATAATTTATATATTTCTTTAAAAACTTAATAGTTATATCTGCAGAGTTTTATTGACTTATACGATAATATAATTATCTTAGAAGTCTACAGAAATTCAAAAACCTCACGTGACTAAAAGATGTAATCGATGAATGTGAGTATACTTTAAATACATTAATTTAATTAATTACTTTTTCTAAAGTGTGTATTATGTGATTATTTACAAAAATCCTTTATTTATTATAGAAATTAAGAATTATGACATTTGTGAGGATTTATTATCTCACATGATAATGTGATTAACTTAAATCTCTACGAAGATTCTTGTAATCCCAAATGAGACTTAAATAAATTATTCAGATTATAAACAAGAGAGTTAATTTTAATGGTGGGTCATTGAAACCCTTGTTTATTATATATAAATTGGATTTTTATACCTATAAAATATTATTGATTACATGGTAGATGATCATTTCAAATGCCTATAAAAATTTTTAAAATC